GGATCTGAAGAAAGAAGCTCCAGAACATTCTGAGTCAGAAGCATCTGAAGTTAATCAAAAGCATCTGAAGCTGAAGCATCTGAAGTATAAAAGAATATTGATTGAAGAGTTTCTCAAAGCATTAGTCTACAGAAGTTTCTGAAAGTACCTACGCTGCCAAGTACTGAAGTTCTGTGTCAAAATGCTCTGATGATCAACACGCTAGAAGCACACACGCTTCAGAAGACTCTGATACAGCATAGTTCTGAATCTCATTAGAATACTCTGATCCATTCAGACTCTGAAGAACTTGCTGAAACTGAAGAAGTATTTTTCAAGAATATATCCGTTGGAACTATTCAACGTCTCTTTCCTTATTTGTGCTAGACACACTTACACAGACAAAAAGGATTTTTCTGTGCCATCTATTTCAAGGAAAGGTCAGTTGATGTGAAGACAAAAAGGCTCATACCTTTTGGGACTCTCTTTTCAACGTTCAGCTTGCATGATTCAGCTGCCTATAAAAGGAGATCTTCACTTCATTCTTCAGTTACACACTTGCTGAAAAGAAATCATAATATTCTAAAAGCTCTCATTCTTATTCTTCATAGAATCTCATTGTACTTAAACTTAAGAGAAAAATCACTGTTGTGATTAAAGCTTTATAGAAGCATTAAAAACTCTTGTATTTAATTTACATTGATTGTAAAGATATTCCTTAAGAGGATTCAGTTAGAATCAGTAGCTCTTGAGAAGACTAAGAACTGTTGTTCTTAGGTGATACTATTGTAATCAGTTTGATTTAATAGTGGATTAAGTCCTTGTTGAGAAAGGCAAATCACTCTGGAAGGGTGGACTGGAGTAGTTGTTAAACGAACCGGGATAAAAATAATTGTGTGATTATTTTCAAGTCTTATTTTTCCATACTTATTCAACCCCCCCCCCTTCTAAGTATTATCTCACCTTCAGTTCTAACCACCGCCAGTCTTGGAGTTTCAGGCCAACGCGGTGACAGTATTGGTCCACTGTGGGCAGTTGAAACCGTAACTATAATGTTAGAACCAACATCAATTTCTTATGGCACAACTGTATTTCCTCTTAAGGATTGCTCCTCGTTTGGACTGGTATTTCGTGGATCTACCATTTTCTTACCACTACGCAATTCCATATACTTAACATAACGTGTCCCACTGAGTGTTCCAATTTGTTTGCGATTTCTGACGAACAATCTCTAGCCTCTTATTAAAGGTTACTTGCAGGATCGACTACAAAATCCTAGACTTAATGTAAAGTATGGAATGGATATTTAAGTGTTTGGATTTGAAATGGTAGAAAAGGAATTGGATGAAGCTACGTTCGTGCAACTAAGATAAATAAATGAAAAAACAAGACAAAAACTGGAAAGGAAAGTGAATCAAAAAAGACTTATAAAGTAAATTGCTTGAACATAAGTTGGACGCATGTATACATTTGTGTAGAAATAACTCGTTTCTCTTAGACGCTGGTACTTTAAGTGTTTTCTTTGCAATGTTGCAAAAATGCGACCTCTTAATCTGAAGTTAAATTCTACTTAAATAGGCATAAAAATAACTATTGCTCTGCTGTCGACTATTCACAGCTTGCCCACACGTCCATCCATGCACACCCACTTTGTTTGTAACTCCCCCACATTCTCATCAACTGCTCTCAAAACTTGCCCGTGTTAACTTGGCTTCGACTTTGATTTGTACGGTTGTTTGTCGAACTTGATTCGACTGGGCCCATCTGTCCCTTTTCTTGTCTTGCCCATCGAACCTCTTCGGCGACGGCGGCCTATTTCGACGCTTTTTTGTTTGTGATGAAAAGTTTCTCCCTTTGTTTCACTTATTTTTCCCTAGTCGAAATTTTCTAGCTAACAGTTGGCTACTATTTGGATATATTAGTATTGTTAATTAGTTATTATGAATTTAATTAATTATGGTAGACTTATCATCGTCGAATGATAAATGAATTACCTAAATGTTGTTGTGTTCATGATGTAGCAATTGTATGGAATGAATACGATACTGTTTTGTAATGTCATATGATGTGAATATGTCTAGTAGTGTTGTGATCATGTATGACCATGTGGTGATTAATTATGTATTGTTGATATGTTGATAAATAGTTCAAAATGGGGGATTATTCATGTGCTTGTGTGTATTGTTGTTATTATTGTTGGATAGTAATTGAGAAGGGGAAATTACTATTGTGTATCAATGCATGTTGTTTATGTTCAAAAAGGGGCCTGTAAGCATTGTAGTCATTCTTGCATTGATTTGTATTGACATGCATCAATGTGTCATGTCGTTGAGAGGGACATGCTTGCTAATTCAAAAAAGGGGACCAGTGGCTTGTCCCAAGCTCAGAAGAGGGATTCGGTTCTTGAGAAAACATTGTGTCGTGACTCTCCCTGCATATATATATATATATATATATATATATATATATATATATATATATATATATATATATATATATATATATATATATATATATATATATATATATATATATATATATATATATATATATATATATATATATATATATATATATATATATATATATATATATATATATATATATATATATATATATATATATATATATATATATATATATATATATATATATATATATATATATATATATATATATATATATATATATATATATATATGTTGTTGTGGAATGGATGTGAGATTATGATGATGTTGATTGTGTAATTGAATGTATATTATGTTGTGTATCACCTACCCTTGCATTCTTTACACCGTTTCATATCGAAGTTTATTTCTCACCCATTCTTTCTATGTTGTCCACCATGAGCATCTTGTAGATAATTAGGATTAAAGTTATTGTTGTGTGTGAAAGTTGACTTGTTGGAGCTAATTTTCGTTTACTTATCGTTTTTTCTGCAATTTAGTGGTTTTAGTGTTCTGATATTGTAACATTGGGAATGAGGCGTTTTTTATATGTTTTGAGTAATGTTGAATTATGTGGTTTAAAGTCTAATACTTTGTTTTGCTAAGAGTGATTGAAGTTGTTATGATATGATTTTTGGTTGCTTGTCGTCAAATGTGTTGATGAGTTTTGGATGGTTGTCGTAGTAACGTCCTAAATATGTCAAGTAATTCTTTTCATATAAGTTTCGGGGTTTAGGGTGTTACACCTCCCGTGGGCTTGTGTAAACCATTGTGAACCACCAATCTCTCCCATATTGCATCTCAACCTTGGAGTTGAAAAATTGAAAACGGGTGTGCATGATCATGATTTCAAGATTATCAGTTTTCCAAGCTACACCAATTCCCCCGGAATATCCTCTCACCTAAGAGAAAACATACCCATTGAAACCTAATTGCTCGAATATTTTCCTTAGTTTCTCAAGATCCACTATGGTTTCCATAACAACAAAAATGTCATACTTTGATTCTCAAAGATAGATTTTGCAGCAACAAATAAAAGCCCTACTTCTCGTTCCCCTACAATTCCACATCAATATTTTGCATTGCTCAGGAATCATAAAACTGTGGACTAGTTGTTTCGATACCCTACTAGTGAATGGGTGTTTCCTCCACCAAAACCATATGTGAAACATCTCTCTCTTCATCGCCTTCGCTCTTCTCTTCCGGCGATCTTCAGGATTGCAAATTCGTTTGGCCTCTACACTCTGAAGATTGCTCATTTGCTGAATGACTTCAGTTTTTTGGTTTTCGATTGTAACGCTTGATCCATGGCCTCATAATCCCGTTGGGCCCAATTTGTCTAGGCTATTACCATAACTCGTACTTTGGCCACTACATTGGTTATACTTTCTTCGTCTTTTAGTCATATCCAACTCTTCCAGATTCAAAATTATTTATTAATTCCCCCACCTTTTTGTCCTCAAGCATCTTTTTCAAATACAACTTCTCTTTTCCACGTGTACCCCCTTTAATCTTTTCTTTAGCTACCCCATGTGACGCAATCTCCAAGTTCACTTGAGGACTTTTAAATTTCTTTTAGTTATGTAGTTCCTTCCTATTGTTCTCCATTTGTATCTCTTTGATTGCAGCCTTATGAGTGTGGATATTAATGTTCTCATCCGTTTCTTTAAGTGCTTCCTAAATGTCAGCAAAGTATCTTTCTCCAAACTTTCTACGAAGTTTGTAAAGTATTATTTTTCTCAAGGTCTATGAACTTTAAGCACTTAGGATTCTCTAGGACATTAACTCCTATGCTCTTCCGATCCCCATCCTTCTCTGCTTGATTACCGCCATTCTCCCAACCATCTTGGAATTTTCGTGTTCTTCTAGATTTTTGGACGACTATCCAAGTGTCAGTTTTTTCAAGTGTTAATGACATAGCAACTTTACCTCGATCAACTAAATTCGTAATTTGTGGTTCTTTTTATTCTTCTTTTGACTCTCCTTTTTATTCTTTGAATTTTACCAACTAATTTTACTGTTATACTCTATTATTATTAATATTTTATTTTCAAATTTGAATTTCTTACTATTATTAATAAAAAAGAAATAATCTTATATAATGTTTTTATATAAAATTAATTAAGTTTTTTTAATTTATATAATTTAAAATGGAAAGAGTAATATTTAGGGTGTAAGAAAACAAAATACAGAGGAGCACATTGTTTGGTAACCCTCCCATTTGATATCCAATAATTCCAACCGTCTATAGATAACAACTGGTCATAGACAAAAACAACCTAACCCAACATCAATAACATAAAAAACATACATTTATTTTGTTCTCTTCTTACGAATAAACGAACAAAACGAACGAACACAGATTCCCTTTTTTCAGTAATAACAGACAAAAATCCCTTTGTCGGTGGGACCCACCACCACAACCATCTTTTTCACGCTTCTCACGTTTCAGAAAAGGACAATTTTACTCATCAATTTAATACAATAATAACAAAATTAAGAATAATAAAACTCATAATAATAATTAATTAAGATTAAGATTAAAAATAAAAGGGAAAAAGAAGAAGAAGAAAAATGGATGAATCAGCAGCGGCGGCAGCAGCAGCGGCAGCAGTTCCAAAATCTCTGATGGAGAATCTGTTAGGTCTTTTGAGGGTTCGTGTCAAACGTGGTGTCAATCTTGCTGTTCGTGATGTTCGTAGCAGCGATCCTTATCTTGTCATCAAGATGTATAATCAGGTAATTACTCATTCTATTTCATCATCATAATTAAAAATTCAATCTTTTTTCTTAGATTTATTGACCCACCTTTCTTAAGGTTGAAATCAACCAACCCCTTTTCATTTCTTATTTTTATATACACTCAATTTTGTTTCTATTGTAAAAAAATTCTTAATTTTTAACAAATTCATGCTTCCCCTTTTTAATTTCATTTAACCTAATTTCTCAATAGTGAAGAAATTCTACTCAATTTTCTTGATATTGAATGATTTGAATCAAGGGTCCTTTTTTGTTTTGTTGATACATGAACTTTGTTAATTTCTAATTCTATGCATGGTTGAATTGATGATGTTGGTTATTGAAAGGTTTTAAAAGGGATGTTAATTTTGTTATTGATGATGTTGATTTTGATTTTCAGAAACTTAAGACTCGTGTGATTAAAAGGGATGTTAATCCTGAGTGGAATGAAGATCTTACTCTTTCTGTTATAGATCCTAATCACATAGTTTCATTGGTAAGTAAGTTAATTGCGGCGCCATGGTATTTATTACTCTTTCTGTTATGTTTTTCAAATAGCCTTGCGCTGTAAGTACTCTAGCGTAGCGGAATTTGAACAAATTGTATTCTTTCTAAATTGTGCAGACTGTGTATGATCATGACACTTTTAGCAAGGATGACAGAATGGGAGATGCGGAATTTGACGTCTCGGCCTATATAGAAGCTCTGAGGATGGACGTAACCGGCCTTTCAAACGGCACCGTACTCAAACGAATTCAACCAAGTAAGCACAACTGCCTTACTGAGGAGAGCTGTATCTATTATAACGGTGGAAAGATTATCCAAGATATGATTCTTAGATTGCAAAATGTCGAATGCGGTGAAGTTGAAATCAGTCTGCACTGGATTGATCTTCCTGGTTCAAAAGGCTTATGATCTTATATATATATCAGATGTTTGTTTTTGAGCAACTTTATATATATAGATTTATATATACATATAAAAGGTGAAGTGTTATTATAGTATGATTTTATGTTAAGAGTTTAGTAACAGAGTGAACTTGAACTTATTCATGAAGTCTTATATTTGTTTCCAGTTTGTAATGTATTTAGTACAGTTCAGAAATTTCTTTTTCCATTAGAAGAAGTTCATATTGTTTGTTTTTTCCTTGAGAGATTGTTCTCTTAATTTTTCAAGATTGGGTAAGACTTAAGTTTTGGGCTATAGAAACTGTTCTTTCTGTTTTCAACCAGTAAAAGATAGCATAATTTGTCACACTAATAGTTTTTTTGAAAGGGTGTGTAAAATTTATGAGGAAATATTCATTATTCTGAATGTATTAAAAAATCTGTGAATTTTATGCCCGAAAAAGGAGTGTCTTAACCTGTTTTTTGTTTGTATGTTTTCTTCTTTGGCACTCTTTAAATTGGTGTTATACATTCCTATCATATTGTATATTTTTAAATTGACGTCTGACATTTCTATCATAGTTCATATAACTTAAATAAGGGTTACACTTTTCTTTTTCTTTGAATTTGACATATCTTAGACATTTTTTTTGGATAGATTTCAAACACATCTAAAATGTTAAAGATGTGTTGCAAGTTGAAACATTAAATTTAAGAGAAAATAGAATTTGCATAATAATTATAAAATTTTATACTATCAACCAATTAGTGATTAGTGATGTGCATTATTTTATTAAGTCAACAAAGTTGATAATTATGCAGAGAAAAAATTAAATACATGAGCACGGTTCGAACCTACATCATCCTATTTATTTATTTTTTTAAGATTAAATTTCAATAATTAAATTATTTAACAAACAAAAGTTGTGTATTCCGCCAAATTAAATTTATATTTAAAATTGTTATAATGATACAACCTATAGTTGATTTTATTTTTAATAAACTCAAAATTTAATTGGAAATTATTTAACTTTTCAATTATGTGTCAAATCATACATTATTTAGATTAGTAATTTTGACATATTCTTATCAAGTATTTGTCTCGAAGTTCGTAATTAATACTTAAAATATATATTTGACTTTCAAAACATCTGAACTAAATAATCTTTTACAATTTTTGTATAATATGCGGAAAAATTACGAATAAAATGGTTTTCTTAATTTTTTTATTTAAAAGTTCAAAGAATTTAATAGTGTTTTTATATGAATGGTAGTATTCTGGATTGACCCAATGTTTAGGTATTGCCATAATTCACTTCTGCTCACAGAACGACCCAATTGCCTATGTCTAACTAATTTGGGGGAACATTTACCTTTCTGCCCCTCAATTAAGGGAGGCTGACTGGTTTATCCTTGGGCCAACACTTCTCCCCATCGGTCCTTTCCCGTCACGCATAGTTCCACCATCCAGAAATAGTCACGACGCTTGTGCCCGTTATTGCGCCTCTATCCGTAGCAACGACTAGTTATGGGCACCTCTGCCCGTCCCAACGACTAGTTTCTGACAGTTAGCTATTCTTCAAGAAATAGTTATCTCGCCCCAAAAATAGGGAACAATGGCCAAGCGCCGGGGCACTATAAAACCCTCTCATTTGAAAGAGTCAGGTATTCAATATTCACCTTGATACACACATATTCTATACTTGCCTTCTTTCTCCCGATTCTTATTTTAACATCGGAGTGCCTTGCAAGTACACCCCCTTCTCCTCTCTCACATCCAGCATCACAGACGATTGTCTCTGCCCCACTTCAGGTTCTGATCAGACGTCAAGATCAGTGACGCTGTCTGTGGGAAACTATGTTATCCCTGTCTTTCTTCCATTGTAGATTTGAGACCAAAACAGTTCTTCCAAACTCTGGTTATGGCCAGCCGTGACAACACCCATGTTGCTCGTAACTCTACCTTCCTCCCCGCCAACAAGACTGATACTGGCGGAGCAACCACCTCTCTTGGGGGCGACGCCCACCAACAAAGGGATGAAGCCACCGAGTCTCCCTCCCCCGTTCGCGCTGATCACAATGAGGTCCAACTCATCCTGGACAACCTGTCAGTTCCAACTCCGTCCAGCGCCGACCCGGCCATGGCAGCCCTTCTCGAGGCTCTCAACAAGATCAACCTCTTAATCCTCCATCAGAGCGTGAGGATTGGAGCCCTAGAGAATTCCAATCGTCCAAGATCCCCTCCGTCAAGGAAAGAGCGTCAGAGATCACAGAGTCCTCCTCCCCGGCACGAAAGAAATCGTCTGACACCTCTAGAGCCAAAAACCCAAACTGTCAGAAAGCGCAACCACATCTCTCCCAGGAACCAGCATTCCCTGCGACCCAAGAGGAACAGAAGAGATCAACGATCAGAGTCCTAGCTGTAGCGGGGAAATTTGTGAGTGTAAGCTATTGATTAACTTAATTAAAAAATGCAAGAGTCGCCACCGCACTTTTATTTTATCCAAAAAAAGAAAGGAAAAAGAGCGAACAAAACCTAAGAGTTTTAAAACAAGAACAAAAACAGAGATCTGGGTAAGAGGGTTGGTTACACAATGGGAAGGTGTTAGCACCCAAAACGTCTATAGTACTCTATAGGAGCCCTTTGAAATATCTACGCTTTTTGGTTTGAAAAGGTTTGCTTGAAAGGAAATTGGGGAGATGAGAAGAGAATTGTTTTTTAAGATTATTGTGTTTGGAGAGACTTATCGCCTCTTGCCTACATATCCATAAAGTGCAATATATGATCAAAACTCTATAGTTCATGGTACAAATAACAAAAATTTGTTGGTTTTGATTGATTTTTAAATGTAAAGACAAGTCGTCATTTTAAGGAGAAAGCTACGACTAGTTGTCCACAAGTATAAGACAACATTTGCATCACCTAAAGATGGAGGATTTTGCTTGGATTAAAATCAACAAGTCTATCACTCAACAGCTAAGTGGAAAATGTAAACATCTTAATACTATGGGGAATAGGAGAATTATATCTCAACTATGGAAATGACTCATGTCTAAACTTTATGAAAAGTATTAAAGTGAAAAGTGCACAAAAAGCACAAAAAGTTTGAATGAGGTTGATACTTTTTTAAAGTCTTTTTGAAATTTGTCAAAATGTGATTAACATTGATTGACATTTATTAAAGAAAATAAAGTTTGAAAATCACTTGACAAAAGTCAAAGTTTTATTATGAAAGCGATTTTAAGTTTGAAAGCAAGAAAGTTTTTGAAAAAGGGGGGAGATTTTGAAAATTTAAGAAGGGGAGAAGATAAAGTGACTACCCTAAAAAACAAAATAAAAGTTAGAGATAATAAGGATCTAACCAACTTGTAGCACACTCCATAGCAAGCCAAATAAGAATTTCATCCATCTTGAAGCATAAGCCAATAAGCAAACCAAATAAAGTCAAAGATCCATAATACTCCAAACATAAGGAAAGAGTCCTAATTCTAAGTCCAAGGGTCCAAGAATAGTCCAAGAGGTCCAAGGTCTAAGAATAGTCCAAGAGCATAACCACAAAGTTAAGAGCACCAAGTTTTATAGAGGTTTAATAGAAAATAGCGAAAACATAAACATGTGTCCAACAGACCAAAGAAAAATAACGAAAGCATAAACAATAATACGAGATGAGATGATAATAATGGAGCATAAAGATAAAAGAGAGATAGGGAGCAAGAAGGAAACATAAATAAAATTAGTACAATGATATTGTTAATGAATTAGTGATTAGTTGTTTGGGCAAATGATCAACGATAGTTAACTCATGCACTTAAGCCAAATTTGATGAAAATCTATTAGAGAATTGATACAATCAAAGCCTCCTAACAACAAGTTTCATAGGTGATGGACCTAAGACAAATAATCAATCATACTTGGACTTTCAAACATAAGTTTGAGCCACGAATGATCATTTTCCAATTACGGAACAATTTAGCGCTATGTTAATCAATCGCAATCGGGTTTATGTGGAAACCACGACTATCTGAGGTCGGTCAATAACAATGTTAGTGCTAATGCATGGTAGAGAAGTGATATGTAGATCACTCTCCGAAAGAAATACCGCGTGAAAAGAAAATAGGTAACGATCTCATCTTCATCAAGAACTTGAAATAAGTTCAAACGATATCGAAGATTTTTATTGATCAAAAGAAAAAAGAGAAGAGGAAAGGGAATTCCAAATTGGATTACAAGTTCAAGGTCATTATGTCTTTAAGTTCATCCACTCATCTTGGTGGATTAAAGCACTAAACATATCATTAACTCAAAGCACCTTAAATGAATTGAACAATTCATTTTAAAGATAGATTTGAATTAATGAATGTTTATCCAACTTCTTCTACACCCTAAGTCCAATGAATATAAAGAGGAAAAAGACCTTTAAAAGTGCATTCCAAGGCAAAAATCAAAAGGAAATGGAAGAAGAATAAGAAAGAACCAAAACAGAGCCAAAAACTCAAAATCAACACTGGGTAACCGATTACCTTAATCTGGTAACCAATTACCAATGCTAAAACAGCAACAACATAGCTTTAAAAAATGCAGAAACTTGATCAATCATTTTTTCAAACACCTCATGATCAAGGATGCAATTGAGCATGAAAATTCAAGTAAAATAACAGCAATCAACACCAATAGAACACAATTTGCAAGACCCAAAGACCAAGCAACAAGAATGAACATTAGATCATATTGTGAAGGATGTATCAAGAGCAACAATGGTGGATCAAGAAATTACCACTCCAAATCTGGAAATTCTTCAAATCAGCTCCATAAACCACACGTCAAAGCCTTGATCTACTAGAATTGATGATGAAAAGTGAATGGATGAAGGTTTAGCTCAAAGATTAGTAAGTTCTAATGATGAACTTACTAACTTTCAAAGGAAGAAAAAACTTTGATGAATTTGGTAATTGGAGAAAAAATTAGAATCAAGAAAGAATTTGACAAGGTGAATTTGGCTATCCAAAGCTTATGAAATGAGAGAAATG